CACCCGTACATGGGATGTTGCTCACTCTGTCGACCACCAGGCTATTGTGATATACAGGTAGCTGCAATAGGTCTAGACTACTGTCACTGATTGTTCGTGTGTCTGAACACCCGTACATGGGATGTTGCTCACTCTGTCGACCACCAGGCTATTGTGATATACAGGTAGCTGCAATAGGTCTAGACTACTGTCACTGATTGTTCGTGTGTCTGAACACCCGTACATGGGATGTTGCTCACTCTGTCGACCACCAGGCTATTGTGATATACAGGTAGCTGCAATAGGTCTAGACTACTGTCACTGATTGTTCGTGTGTCTAAACACCCGTACATGGATGTTGCTCACTCTGTCGACCACCAGGCTATTGTGATATACAGGTAGCTGCAATAGGTCTAGACTACTGTCACTGATTGTTCGTGTGTCTGAACACCCGTACATGGGATGTTGCTCACTCTGTCGACCACCAGGCTATTGTGATATACAGGTAGCTGCAATAGGTCTAGACTACTGTCACTGATTGTTTGTTAGTCTGAACACCCGTACATGGGATGTTGCTCACTCTGTCGACCACCAGGCTATTGTGATATACAGGTAGCTGCAATAGGTCTAGACTACTGTCACTGATTGTTCGTGTGTCTAAACACCCGTACATGGGATGTTGCTCACTCTGTCGACCACCAGGCTATTGTGATATACAGGTAGCTGCAATAGGTCTAGACTACTGTCACTGATTGTTCGTGTTAGTCTGAACACCCGTACATGGGATGTTGCTCACTCTGTCGACCACCAGGCTATTGTGATATACAGGTAGCTGCAATAGGTCTAGACTACTGTCACTGATTGTTCGTGTTTCTAAACACCCGTACATGGGATGTTGCTCACTCTGTCGACCACCAGGCTATTGTGATATACAGGTAGCTGCAATAGGTCTAGACTACTGTCACTGATTGTTCGTTAGTCTAAACACCCGTACATGGGATGTTGCTCACTCTGTCGACCACCAGGCTATTGTGATATACAGGTAGCTGCAATAGGTCTAGACTACTGTCACTGATTGTTCGTGTGTCTGAACACCCGTACATGGGATGTTGCTCACTCTGTCGACCACCAGGCTATTGTGATATACAGGTAGCTGCAATAGGTCTAGACTACTGTCACTGATTGTTCGTGTGTCTGAACACCCGTACATGGGATGTTGCTCACTCTGTCGACCACCAGGCTATTGTGATATACAGGTAGCTGCAATAGGTCTAGACTACTGTCACTGATTGTTCGTGTGTCTGAACACCCGTACATGGGATGTTGCTCACTCTGTCGACCACCAGGCTATTGTGATATACAGGTAGCTGCAATAGGTCTAGACTACTGTCACTGATTGTTCGTGTAGTCTGAACACCCGTACATGGGATGTTGCTCACTCTGTCGACCACCAGGCTATTGTGATATACAGGTAGCTGCAATAGGTCTAGACTACTGTCACTGATTGTTCGTGTGTCTAAACACCCGTACATGGGATGTTGCTCACTCTGTCGACCACCAGGCTATTGTGATATACAGGTAGCTGCAATAGGTCTAGACTACTGTCACTGATTGTTCGTGTGTCTAAACACCCGTACATGGGATGTTGCTCACTCTGTCGACCACCAGGCTATTGTGATATACAGGTAGCTGCAATAGGTCTAGACTACTGTCACTGATTGTTCGTGTGTCTGAACACCCGTACATGGGATGTTGCTCACTCTGTCGACCACCAGGCTATTGTGATATACAGGTAGCTGCAATAGGTCTAGACTACTGTCACTGATTGTTTGTTAGTCTGAACACCCGTACATGGGATGTTGCTCACTCTGTCGACCACCAGGCTATTGTGATATACAGGTAGCTGCAATAGGTCTAGACTACTGTCACTGATTGTTCGTTAGTCTGAACACCCGTACATGGGATGTTGCTCACTCTGTCGACCACCAGGCTATTGTGATATACAGGTAGCTGCAATAGGTCTAGACTACTGTCACTGATTGTTCGTGTGTCTGAACACCCGTACATGGGATGTTGCTCACTCTGTCGACCACCAGGCTATTGTGATATACAGGTAGCTGCAATAGGTCTAGACTACTGTCACTGATTGTTCGTGTGTCTGAACACCCGTACATGGGATGTTGCTCACTCTGTCGACCACCAGGCTATTGTGATATACAGGTAGCTGCAATAGGTCTAGACTACTGTCACTGATTGTTCGTGTTTCTAAACACCCGTACATGGGATGTTGCTCACTCTGTCGACCACCAGGCTATTGTGATATACAGGTAGCTGCAATAGGTCTAGACTACTGTCACTGATTGTTCGTGTGTCTAAACACCCGTACATGGGATGTTGCTCACTCTGTCGACCACCAGGCTATTGTGATATACAGGTAGCTGCAATAGGTCTAGACTACTGTCACTGATTGTTCGTGTGTCTAAACACCCGTACATGGGATGTTGCTCACTCTGTCGACCACCAGGCTATTGTGATATACAGGTAGCTGCAATAGGTCTAGACTACTGTCACTGATTGTTCGTGTGTCTGAACACCCGTACATGGGATGTTGCTCACTCTGTCGACCACCAGGCTATTGTGATATACAGGTAGCTGCAATAGGTCTAGACTACTGTCACTGATTGTTCGTTAGTCTGAACACCCGTACATGGGATGTTGCTCACTCTGTCGACCACCAGGCTATTGTGATATACAGGTAGCTGCAATAGGTCTAGACTACTGTCACTGATTGTTCGTGTTTCTAAACACCCGTACATGGGATGTTGCTCACTCTGTCGACCACCAGGCTATTGTGATATACAGGTAGCTGCAATAGGTCTAGACTACTGTCACTGATTGTTCGTTAGTCTGAACACCCGTACATGGGATGTTGCTCACTCTGTCGACCACCAGGCTATTGTGATATACAGGTAGCTGCAATAGGTTTAGACTACTGTCACTGATTGTTCGTGTTTCTGAACACCCGTACATGGGATGTTGCTCACTCTGTCGACCACCAGGCTATTGTGATATACAGGTAGCTGCAATAGGTCTAGACTACTGTCACTGATTGTTCGTTAGTCTGAACACCCGTACATGGGATGTTGCTCACTCTGTCGACCACCAGGCTATTGTGATATACAGGTAGCTGCAATAGGTCTAGACTACTGTCACTGATTGTTCGTGTGTCTGAACACCCGTACATGGGATGTTGCTCACTCTGTCGACCACCAGGCTATTGTGATATACAGGTAGCTGCAATAGGTCTAGACTACTGTCACTGATTGTTCGTGTGTCTGAACACCCGTACATGGGATGTTGCTCACTCTGTCGACCACCAGGCTATTGTGATATACAGGTAGCTGCAATAGGTCTAGACTACTGTCACTGATTGTTCGTGTGTCTAAACACCCGTACATGGGATGTTGCTCACTCTGTCGACCACCAGGCTATTGTGATATACAGGTAGCTGCAATAGGTCTAGACTACTGTCACTGATTGTTCGTGTGTCTAAACACCCGTACATGGGATGTTGCTCACTCTGTCGACCACCAGGCTATTGTGATATACAGGTAGCTGCAATAGGTCTAGACTACTGTCACTGATTGTTCGTGTGTCTAAACACCCGTACATGGGATGTTGCTCACTCTGTCGACCACCAGGCTATTGTGATATACAGGTAGCTGCAATAGGTCTAGACTACTGTCACTGATTGTTCGTGTGTCTAAACACCCGTACATGGGATGTTGCTCACTCTGTCGACCACCAGGCTATTGTGATATACAGGTAGCTGCAATAGGTCTAGACTACTGTCACTGATTGTTCGTGTGTCTGAACACCCGTACATGGGATGTTGCTCACTCTGTCGACCACCAGGCTATTGTGATATACAGGTAGCTGCAATAGGTCTAGACTGCTGTCACTGATTGTTTGTTAGTCTGAACACCCGTACATGGGATGTTGCTCACTCTGTCGACCACCAGGCTATTGTGATATACAGGTAGCTGCAATAGGTTTAGACTACTGTCACTGATTGTTCGTGTTTCTAAACACCCGTACATGGGATGTTGCTCACTCTGTCGACCACCAGGCTATTGTGATATACAGGTAGCTGCAATAGGTCTAGACTACTGTCACTGATTGTTCGTGTGTCTGAACACCCGTACATGGGATGTTGCTCACTCTGTCGACCACCAGGCTATTGTGATATACAGGTAGCTGCAATAGGTCTAGACTACTGTCACTGATTGTTCGTGTGTCTAAACACCCGTACATGGGATGTTGCTCACTCTGTCGACCACCAGGCTATTGTGATATACAGGTAGCTGCAATAGGTCTAGACTACTGTCACTGATTGTTCGTGTGTCTGAACACCCGTACATGGGATGTTGCTCACTCTGTCGACCACCAGGCTATTGTGATATACAGGTAGCTGCAATAGGTCTAGACTACTGTCACTGATTGTTCGTGTTTCTAAACACCCGTACATGGGATGTTGCTCACTCTGTCGACCACCAGGCTATTGTGATATACAGGTAGCTGCAATAGGTCTAGACTACTGTCACTGATTGTTCGTGTGTCTAAACACCCGTACATGGGATGTTGCTCACTCTGTCGACCACCAGGCTATTGTGATATACAGGTAGCTGCAATAGGTCTAGACTACTGTCACTGATTGTTCGTGTGTCTAAACACCCGTACATGGGATGTTGCTCACTCTGTCGACCACCAGGCTATTGTGATATACAGGTAGCTGCAATAGGTCTAGACTACTGTCACTGATTGTTCGTGTGTCTGAACACCCGTACATGGGATGTTGCTCACTCTGTCGACCACCAGGCTATTGTGATATACAGGTAGCTGCAATAGGTCTAGACTACTGTCACTGATTGTTCGTGTGTCTCAACACCCGTACATGAGATGTTGCTCACTCCAGGCCAATGTAATATTCGCCACATGTTATATCATTAAGTACGACGAACCAGAATATATTCTAACTTTATTTAGTTATGTCTTAGCAGATGAATGCATATGTTCAGAATGTGAGTATCAAGAAGTGTACAGATAGTATAAAATACAACGTTCACAGAAATAATCACACCATCAAATTCCTAAAACGGTAACAAGGAATTATATAATGAGCAAATAACATGGAAATAAATACTCTCTTTAACATCATGTCCATGAAGCCTCAATATGCGGACGAAGTAAAACAACTTTTTACCTCGCTGAAATTATACTATTTTGATATTCAAGGAAGCGGGTAGGACAGAGGGTAGGGAAACGAAGGGAGAGACGATGGATAGTAAAAGATTCCCGTCCATGTTTGACAACCAGGACTTATGCTTCAGACAGCTGACCAAAAAATATTTGGTTTGCCCCCAAACATTACTGCCATGGGAAGTTATTTCCATCCTCGTCGCCCTGAACACGACCACGACCGTCCTTCGTGATCATCGCCCCTGTATTGCCGTCCAACAAGATGAAGCTTGGAATACCGCTCACACCAAACTTTTCACACAGTTGTCCCTGCAAAAGATTTTGAATATATTTAGTCATCTTTTTTTCCTCAAATTTTCGAGTGATCTGTCCGTCAAGAACAGTGTAGCAAGGGACATAGTAGTAGTAGTAGTAGTAGTAGAAGTAGTAGTAGAAGTAGTATACGTGGTGGTAGTAGTAGTACTAGTAGTAGTAGTAGTAGTACTAGTAGTAGTAGTAGTAGCAGCAGCAGCAGTAGTAGTAGTAGTAGTAGTAGTAGTAGTAGTAGTAGTAGTAGTAGCAGTAGCAGTAGTAGTAGTAGTAGAAGTAGTAGTAGCAGTAGCAGAAGTAGTAGTAGTAGTAGAAGTAGTATACGTGGTGGTAGTAGTAGAAGTAGTATACGTGGTGGTAGTAGTAGTAGTAGGAGGAGTGGTGGTGGTAGTAGTAGTAGTAGAAGTATAAGAAGAGACATTTACAGATTAAAATAATATACTTTAATAGTAGTAGTAGTAGTCGTAGTAGTAATAGACGTATTTACGGACTTCAGTAATATTATTCAGTAGCTTTAGGCAGAGATTATTACTGGTCGTGGTGGTGGTGGTGGTATCAAACTGACACTGTTGTCATGACTACTCATCTTGGTCCATCCCTTACCTTCCTGTCTCTGTCGGCGTATGATATAGTGAGCCATGGCATGCTGTCATAGTAGTCATCGAAACTCTCCTGATCCCTGTCAGAGCTGACGAACACAATCTCCAGCCCCTTGCTCTTCACTTTCTTGTAGAATTCGACCAGGACGGGCGTGAAGTTTCGGCACGGGGGGGCACCAGTGGGCGGAGAAGTAAATACCTGAAACAACGTGTTTGCACATTAAAATAACTGTAACAGATTACCTGAGTGTGTATTGGATGGACAGCATACATCATGTACAGTACACCTGGTTGTGATTCATGGAGGTATGGTATGATACAATACTCATATTTCATATTTTCATGAGCGGTGTGGTAGCCTAGCGAGTAAAGCGTTTGCTCGTCACGCCGAAGACCCGGTTCCATTTTCCTCATGGACCAGTACAATGAGTGAAGCTCATTTCTGTTGTCCCCTGTCGTGATATTGCTGGAATATTGCCAAAAGCTCATACTTTTAACACGTAATGTACTACACATACAGGTGAGGGGCGGTGGGGTAGTCTAGTGGTTAAAGCGTTGGCTCGTCACGCCAAAGACCCGGGTTCGATTCCCCACATGGGCACAATGTGTGAAGCCCATTTCTGGTGTCCCCCGCCGTGATATTGCTGGAATATTGCTAAAAGCGGCGTAAAACTAAACTCAGTCAGTCAGTCAGACATACAGGTGCACACACAGACAGGGTATTTCTGGGTATTCTATTGCACTGGCGTTATATATTTCCGATCAGTTACATGAAGCGTTAGTAATATATCTGCTCAGTCTAGAAAAGTGGGCGTTGCTGGGCTGGACAATGTCCGCTTTGTTTGTAGTTGTTCAAGACTGACGTCATGAACATCGATCTGCGGAATTGGTATTCGACGACCTGTGTCAATCAAGTCCGCGAGAATGACCACGTGCATCCGATCCTGTTAGTCGCCTCTTACGACAAGCATGGGTGGCTGACAACCGATTCTAACCCGGATCTTCACATGTCCAATGCATCAGCTCTTCACGTGTCCTGATAGCGAGGACCAATGTTTATTCTTCTTGTGAGTGAGTATGGTTTTACGCCGCTTTTAGCAATATTCCAGCAATACCATGGCGGGGAACACCAGAAATGGGCTTCACACATTGTACCCATGTGGGGACTCGAACCCGGGTCTTCGGCGTGAAGAGCGAACGCTTTAACCACTAGGCTACCCCACCGCCCTCAGGGTATGAGAACACGCTATCAACCACGTAGCCGTGATATTGCTGGAATACAGCTAAAAGCGCCGTTAAATCATACTCACTCGCTCACTCTTATACCCTGACTTTAACGATCAATGGATTGTCTGGTCCACACTCTACAATATGTACAGACCACCGTTACATAGCTGGAACATTGCTGATAGTGGTCTTCAGTGTCAAGAAAAGAAATACTTCCCTGTATCTAGGAAGAGAATATTGGTCCATATGATGTATATGTGTGGGGAATCGAACCGTGTCCACCTCAAGACGAACGCTGTACCACGCTACCCAACCACCCCCCAGAACAGTTTACTATTTTCATTTGTGTACAGGAAAACAACATTCCCAACCAACGAATTATTACAATCAAACTTGCCAAATTTGGCCACTTGCCAAAGGAAAACACGGAAGCGACGACGGAACCTCTCCCGGGTAACCCATGGCAACGCGTTCCATGGTGAGTTGTCTTGTCTCAAAATAAAAATTAGATGATCAGCTGTTCGTATCCGCGTTCACAACGATTCTTTCCTACTTTCCCCTTGTCTTAACTTCATGTTGAATCTGTATTAAAACTGAATGTAATCGCCGAATGACTTCATAATAACGTAGCCTCTTGCTGGCTTTCCTACTGATGTGTTATGCGTTACCATGGCGACATGCGTGAATGCACAAATGAGCATTGCAGTGATCTCACACGCACAATAGACGGTTAATTTCTATTCAAACAATGTCTACTTTGTGGAGGTCGACTGAACGGCTTGTGGGTATATACAATCCTCACGGTATGTCGTGCGTGTCTTTTTCCTCACAAGGAAATCAGTTATGCCACGCGGGTAATAGGCCAAGGCTATTATCTTGTTATCAGTATGAAATAAAATATAATATTGCTGATAACAGTATATCGACTGTATATTCCCGTACTGTAGAAGCCTTGGGATGTTATTTTATTTACAGACCGAACAAGATTGCATGCCGCTCTCTTTGGCGATTTCAGGCCACATCAAGAATGAGATTACAAAACTGGAAAAGTGAATGAGTTTAGTATTAGTTTACGCTAACTCAGCAATATTCCAGGTGGTGGCGGCGGTCTGTAAATAATCGAGTCTGGACCACACAGTCCGGCCAGTGATCAACAGCATGAGCATCGATCTGAGCAATTGGGAACCGATGACATGTGTTAAGTTAGCGAGCCTGACCACCCGATCCCATTAGTCGCCTCTACGACAAGCATGGGTTACTGAAGATACTAAGGTTAACCTCAACTCCCATTCTTTAACATTGTACTAAGGTTACCTTAGTGACTTACGATCACCTTAGTGATTTGTGAAAGGAAGCCCAGGTCTCTATGTTATAAGTGAACAGTTTAACCACGAGGTTATCCTGCTTGGCCTTATGTCATGGATAAATTTCTTCAGACGCAACGCCGTCACCACAGAGTGCGTGACTGCGTTGGTTTTTTTACGCTGCTTTTAGCAATATTCCAGCCATATCACCAGAAACACACATTATACGCAAGTGGGGAATCGAGCATTGATAAAACCTGCGATATTTTTTTTCTCAGCAAAATCGAAGCTGTTACCACATTCGTTTTACCTCTATACTTTAAGGGGTCAATGATATGTAGGTTCCCGTGGGGTTTCTGGGTAGGAATGGGCCTCTATAACTACGCATGCTTGTTGTAAAAGGCGATGATTGGAATAGTAAAGTGATGGTTCATGTCATGGTCTATTCATGGTGTTTGTGTTTGCTCGCAATATTAACAACTTGGTTAACGATCCATATTGTGTTGGACAGTTGCTGAGAGCGACAATAGTAATAACAAGCAGAACCTAGCTACCTACCTAACTACCTACCCAGCCCCATACATAGAAACGTCGTGTACATATCACGTGTATCACTCGTGCTCAAACTGTCCACACACCTGTTCACACTTCGTCATAGCTGGCGAGTTCTATGATTAAGCATCATTCCTAAAATCATATCCACATATATATATATCGTCATCATTAGACGATTGTAAACACAGATATGATCCCACCCATTCGTAGTGTCATGAACCATCGGGGTCAATTCTGGCGAGGAGAGATTAGTATCGGCTCTCGTTCTGTGTTAAATGACGATCGTTACTTACCAACGTATTTCTGTTCGCCAGTGAATGATGACACGGGCACTTCGCTCTTGTCTTTGCCCATAACACTCTGCCCAAAAAGTTCAGCGAAATCATTCCCTACGCTCATGTTTACAGCCTTATCACCGCAGTCAGATACCGTCAGGGAGAGTGGAGGTCTTGTCAAATTTGCACAACCGACACGGATGAAGATCTACAGCCTGAGTACCACACGGCTATTTATACAAGGGAGGTAACCGTAAACATGACCAATGAGGTATATCGATTTCCTGCATGACAGAACATGTGTTGCAGCTTCGTATTATCTTCCGTCTATTTATAGTCATTATATTATTTTCGTAATCGAAATGGAATTATGGAGAACTTTCAAAAGTATTTTCACAGTGACAATTATATTTATTTCCAGCTAATGGGGGGTTTGAAAGGGGGTGGTTCAGGGGTTCGAAACACACACACACACACCCCCTTCCTGGATCCGCCCATGGGTTCTACATTGTACATATGTTCTTCAGTGTAAGTGAATATTATGGTTTAAAATAAACGGTGTATCTAAAGTATAAAGGTGTGTCACTAAGATCTGAATATACGTGTAACACAACGAACAGCACCCCCTCTACCACATGACTCCCATGTCTTGTATCACTAAGATCTGAATATACGTGTAACACAACCAACAGCACCCCCTCTGCCACATGACCCCCATGTCTTGTATCACTAAGATCTGAATATACGTGTAACACAACCAACAGCACCCCCTCTGCCACATGACCCCCATGTCTTGTATCACTAAGATCTGAATATACGTGTAACACAACGAACAGCAGCCCCTCTACCACATGACCCCCATGTCTTGTATCACTAAGATCTGAATATACGTGTAACACAACGAACAGCAGCCCCTCTACCACATGACCCCCATGTCTTGTATCACTAAGATCTGAATATACGTGTAACACAACGAACAGCAGCCCCTCTGCCACATGACTCCCATGTCTTGTATCACTAAGATCTGAATATACGTGTAACACAACGAACAGCAGCCCCTCTACCACATGACTCCCATGTCTTGTATCACTAAGATCTGAATATACGTGTAACACAACCAACAGCACCCCCTCTACCACATGACTCCCATGTCTTGTATCACTAAGATCTGAATATACGTGTAACACAACGAACAGCAGCCCCTCTGCCACATGACTCCCATGTCTTGTATCACTAAGATCTGAATATACGTGTAACACAACGAACAGCACCCCCTCTACCACATGACTCCCATGTCTTGTGTCACTAAGATCTGAATATACGTGTAACACAACGAACAGCACCCCCTCTACCACATGACCCCCCCCCCCATGTCTTGTATCACTAAGATCTGAATATATAAGTGTAACACAACGAACAGCAGCCCCTCTGCCACATGACCCCCATGTCTTGTGTCACTAAGATCTCTGAATATACGTGTAACACAACGAACAGCAGCCCTCTGCCACATGACTCCCATGTCTTGTATCACTAAGATCTGAATATACGTGTAACACAACGAACAGCACCCCCTCTATGACCCCTATGCCATGACTAAGATCCCCCATGCCTTGCCACATCACTAAGATCTGAATATGACTCCCATGTAACTATCAACGAACAGCACCCTTCTACCACATGACCCCCATGTCTTGTATCACTAAGATCTGAATATACGTGTAACACAACGAACAGCAGCCCTCTACCACATGACTCCCATGTCTTGTATCACTAAGATCTGAATATACGTGTAACACAACGAACAGCACCCCTCTACCACATGACCCCCATGTCTTGTATCACTAAGATCTGAATATACGTGTAACACAACGAACAGCAGCCCCTCTACCACATGACCCCCATGTCTTGTATCACTAAGATCTGAATATACGTGTAACACAACGAACAGCACCCCTCTACCACATGACTCCCATGTCTTGTATCACTAAGATCTGAATATACGTGTAACACAACGAACAGCAGCCCTCTACCACATGACTCCCATGTCTTGTATCACTAAGATCTGAATATACGTGTAACACAACGAACAGCACCCCTCTACCACATGACCCCCATGTCTTGTATCACTAAGATCTGAATATACGTGTAACACAACGAACAGCACGCGACCCCCATGTCTACCACATGAGCCCCTCTCCACATGTCTTGTATCACTAAGATCTGAATATACGTGTAACACAACGAACAGCACCCCCTCTACCACATGACCCCCATGTCTTGTATCACTAAGATCTGAATATACGTGTAACACAACGAACAGCACCCCTCTGCCACATGACCCCATGTCTTGTATCACTAAGATCTGAATATACGTGTAACACAACGAACAGCAGCCCCTCTACCACATGACCCCATGTCTTGTATCACTAAGATCTGAATATACGTGTAACACAACGAACAGCAGCCCCTCTACCACATGACCCCCATGTCTTGTATCACTAAGATCTGAATATACGTGTAACACAACGAACAGCAGCCCCTCTACCACATGACTCCCGTGTCTTGTATCACTAAGATCTGAATATACGTGTAACCTAACGAACAGCACCCCTTCTACCACATGACCCCCATGTCTTGTATCACTAAGATCTGAATATACGTGTAACACAACGAACAGCAGCCCTCTACCACATGACTCCCATGTCTTGTATCACTAAGATCTGAATATACGTGTAACACAACGAACAGCACCCCCTCTACCACATGACATGTCCCCATGTCTTGTATCACTAAGATCTGACCCCGTGTCTTTATCACTAAGAATATACGTGTAACACAACGAACAGCAGACTCCCCCTCTACCACATGACTCCCATGTCTTGTATCACTAAGATCTGAATATACGTGTAACACAACGAACAGCACCCCTCTACCACATGACTCCCCATGTCTTGTATCACTAAGATCTGAATATACGTGTAACACAACGAACAGCACCCCTCTACCACATGACTCCCATGTCTTGTATCACTAAGATCTGAATATACGTGTAACACAACGAACAGCAGCCCCTCTACCACATGACTCCCATGTCTTGTATCACTAAGATCTGAATATACGTGTAACACAACGAACAGCAGCCCCTCTACCACATGACCCCATGTCTTGTATCACTAAGATCTGAATATACGTGTAACACAACGAACAGCAGCCCCTCTACCACATGACTCCCATGTCTTGTATCACTAAGATCTGAATATACGTGTAACACAACGAACAGCACCCCCTCTACCACATGACTCCCATGTCTTGTATCACTAAGATCTGAATATACGTGTAACACAACGAACAGCAGCCCCTCTACCACATGACTCCCATGTCTTGTATCACTAAGATCTGAATATACGTGTAACACAACGAACAGCAGCCCTCTGCCACATGACTCCCATGTCTTGTATCACTAAGATCTGAATATACGTGTAACACAACGAACAGCACCCTCTACCACATGACTCCCATTTCTTGTATCACTAAGATCTGAATATACGTGTAACACAACGAACAGCACTCCCCTCTACCACATGACTCCCATACATGACCTCATGTTGTATCACTAATCTGATCTGAAGCACCCCCTCTATGACCCCATTTCTTGTGTAACACAACCAACAGCACCCCTCTGCCACATGACGTAGCACCCCCCCCATGTCTTGTATCACTAAGATCTGAATGTACAACCAACAGCACCCCTCGTGTAACACAACGAACAGCACAGCACCCCTCTACCACATAACCCCCATTTCTTGTATCACTAAGATCTGAATATACGTGTAACACAACGAACAGCACCCTCTACCACATGACTCCCATGTCTTGTATCACTAAGATCTGAATATACGTGTAACACAACGAACAGCACCCCTCTACCACATGACTCCCCTATGTCTTGTATCACTAAGATCTGAATATACGTGTAACACAACCAACAGCACCCCCTCTGCCACATGACCCCCATGTCTTGTATCACTCAGATCTGAATATACGTGTAACACAACGAACAGCACCCCCTCTACCACATGACTCCCATGTCTTGTATCACTAAGATCTGAATATACGTGTAACACAACGAACAGCAGCCCCTCTACCACATGACTCCCGTGTCTTGTATCACTAAGATCTGAATATACGTGTAACACAACGAACAGCAGCCCCTCTACCTCATGACACCCATGTCTTGTATCACTAAGATCTGAATATACGTGTAACACAACGAACAGCAGCCCCTCTGCCACATGACTCCCGTGTCTTGTGTCACTAAGATCTCTGAATATACGTGTAACACAACGAACAGCAGCCCCTCTGCCACATGACTCCCATGTCTTGTATCACTAAGATCTGAATATACGTGTAACCTAACGAACAGCACCCCTTCTACCACATGACCCCCATGTCTTGTGTCACTAAGATCTGAATATACGTGTAACACAACGAACAGCAGCCCCTCTACCACATGACTCCCATGTCTTGTATCACTAAGATCTGAATATACGTGTAACACAACGAACAGCACCCATTCTACCACATGACTCCCATGTCTTGTATCACTAAGATCTGAATATACGTGTAACACAACGAACAGCACCCCTCTACCACATGACCCCCATGTCTTGTATCACTAAGATCTGAATATATAAGTGTAACACAACGAACAGCAGCCCTCTGCCACATGACTCCCATGTCTTGTGTCACTAAGATCTCTGAATATACGTGTAACACAACGAACAGCAGCCCTCTGCCACATGACTCCCCATGTCTTGTATCACTAAGATCTGAATATACGTGTAACACAACGAACAGCACCCCCTCTACCACATTTGACCCCCATGTCTTGTATCACTAAGATCTGAATATACGTGTAACACAACGAACAGCAGCCCCTCTGCCACATGACTCCCATGTCTTGTGTCACTAAGATCTCTGAATATACGTGTAACACAACGAACAGCAGCCCCTCTACCACATGACTCCCATGTCTTGTATCACTAAGATCTGAATATACGTGTAACCTAACGAACAGCACCCCTTCTACCACATGACCCCCATGTCTTGTATCACTAAGATCTGAATATACGTGTTACCTAACGAACAGCACCCACTCTACCACATGACTCCCATGTCTTGTATCACTAAGATCTGAATATACGTGTAACACAACGAACAGCAGCCCTCTGCCACATGACTCC